ATGTCCTTTTTATTGTTCTTTCTCCTCAGTAACGTTTAATCAGTCTCTTTTTGACGATAAACTGCATCCAGCAGCAAGGCCTCTGATCGGGAGATTAGAGATTTTGAGGGGCGTAGAAACACCTCTTAATTGCTGTTGTTTTGCTGGGGTCTCTTCTATAATGGATACAGTCGGCATATGCTAAGCCCTGTTGATAGAACATTGAATGTTTATATGTATATGAAAGAATATGACATATAAATTCTATATATAAAACTAAAGATGGGCAATTGAATGACAAAATGGGAAAAAAATCAATGTAATGCGTTTCGTCCTTCGTAAGAACTCTTTCAAACTAAACTTGTTTTATTGGAGTCGGCGAGGCTGTACATCTAGACATTTTAAATTTAAGCGTCGCTTCAGTGTTTTCACTCGATGTTTATTTATAACGGGCGTTTGTTTATATTTTCGTTCTCTTCTCCTACATCTATATAAGAATCGTTCAATAAAAATAATATTTCTCGCCACATTGGATCATATATGTTGTTGTTCATGCATTTACGTATTCACACCAATGTATAGTGGTTATCAAATGACTGCAAGTCCCTGTAAATATCCAGGACATTCTTTGATATCCTTACAAATGAAAATAGCGTTATCTAAACGGATGTGATATTCGTGAGCAAATAAGAGAAACTGCCATCTTGTTACACACCAGAAGAACAAAAAATAGCGGGAAACCAGGTAAGTATATAAGGATATTTCCCGGGAATTGAGAAAATTGTTGAATATGAAGAGTGGAGTCGTGCCTATAATAATAGGCGCACTTGAATTCGTGCCAAAAAATGAATAAATATAATATGAATCGGAAAGTCAAGAAGGAATTAAAACAATCCAAAAACTCAGAAATACTGGGTTGTTTTTAAGTGATAGGAATTTGAAGAGCTTGACACACAGTTTCTTGCAATAAGCATCAATCATTAGATACGAAAAGATATGTGCAGGTCATATAATAATATCTTCATCTAAGAAATTTTAGAACTCCTATATATCAAAGTAATGGATAGCAGCTCGGATTGAGGAATCGGAGAGCCGAGTTCGAATTCCACTTGACATTACAATCATTTACAATTGGGAAAGGTATGAAGCCTCTTCTTCTAAATGCTATGGGTAAATAGCAGGAAAACCGGGTTCTATAGCCTTGGACGGAAAATGGTTTACCACAGAAATAAATGGCAACCTACTGCGGGAAAAAATCTTCCTCGTCAGTCATGTATCGAAAGATACATGATCGCCTAACCGTGTATCACGCAAGGAATATAACTGACTGATATATAAAAAAGCAAACAGTAGTAAATAGCTAACTCAGAAAATATTTTGAAAATGATGTCTAAGGACGCGGATTTATTTTCCGCATATCAACTTATGTTTCATTATGGGTGACGAATTATTTTCCTCTCTACAACCCATTTCCCAGGGACGAAACAACTTATATTATTAGGTATTGTTAATATCTTACCATGCCTAATTTATAAATTAAAATTTATAAAAAGTATATATATATATATATATATATAATTATTCATTCGAAAATTATAACAAATATGTTATAAAATCACTACAAAAATAGCCATTTTGTCTCAACACATCTTATGATGTTGAATACACTATATATATATATATATATATATAGTTCTAAATTTTGTATATCTATCGAGGACAAGTACTGTATGTCGGAGATAAAGCATTTGTAGATGTAGAGTGTGTAAACAAGAGAATCGACGCTGCAAGGTCATTTTTGGTTTAAAGATCGCATTAAGGCATGAAACTCATATATATATTTATATATATATATATACATATGGGGGTGCATGTGGTTCGGTAATATCTGCAGTTTCAGTCAACATCTGGAGGTTTGGGATAATACGCCTTATAGTGATTAGACAGGTTTACATAAATCACGAGTAAATAATTTGCAATGCATTAAATAGTTAATTATTATAGTAAAATCATTTCCGATTGATTTATGCTTTTTACTATTCATTGTGTTACTATATATATATATATATATATATATATATATATATATATATATATATATATATATATATATATATATATATATATTGGAATGAATGTAAGTGTTGATGTTTTGTATGATAAATCCTACTCATATTCTTATGTGTTACATAAACAAGAGTCCCTATAATGGACTTATTTTTTTAGGAAAATTATACTAACAAAAAATGGCCAAAAAATTTTATCATTGAATGATGAAGAAAATAAATACGTTAAAGAAAGAAAAATGAGGATTCTTCACAAAGACGGTGTGTTCCACCGACTTTCAGATGTAACTTCCGGCACTGAACGGAAATAATGTAATTTTCTTTGTTTGTGTGGTTTTAAGACGTATTGTATGCCGATGACGTAATTCCCAGAGTTTGTTTTTTGTTTGTTTGTTTGTTTGTTTTTTCGTCTTGGAGAACAGAATTGAGTTGTTTCTTAAGAAGTCGAACCACCCACTTAGTAACTATTATCACTATCATTTTCCTATTATAGTTAATTTTATTTATTTATTTATTTTTACTGCATGTTCCTGGAACCACCAAGATTATCATCAACAGGAATTCAAATCACAAAGTCAATTTAATTTCGTCGGAATTTCTGAAATGAGTTGTTCTATTACCTATTGTTTCATTCAGTTTTCATTCTCATCTTTGTTACTCTTATCGAAATCATTTGTTCGCTGTACTCTCCGGCCTTTCGTGAGACGCATGTCTCGTTCGGTAACTTTTTAGATAGGTTGTTTATTTAGTCCACGTTCTCATTCATATACTTATTAAGTTTTGAAATTATGCATGTTAACTATGTTCTTATTTTTACTTTGGAATCGTAATGACGACCTGTGCCTTGCGATAAACAACAACTAAAATACGATGAAAGAAAAACAGATCAAATATTTGTAAAATCAACGTCTAAAAGATCTGAACAAATTAAGATTATTACGTTTGCCATTTCTAGATGTAAACAAGTGACAAAAATTCGGATAACATACATCATAATTGACTTCAAATGCAATTTTAACACAACTTATCCTTGCTGGGATAGCACCCCAGCAATTAAGCCACGAAAACTAATTTGTAAACGTCATTAATTTGCGGGAAAATTATTTGCTGCATTCATGAAGTTTACTACGTTGCATACGAAATGACTGCTGTGATAGAAAATATGTCGTAAATGTTTCTGAATGAAAGACGATCATTGTTAGCTGGATAGTTTCAAACCTCACTAAGTATTTTCTTTCTTTGTGTTCACAAAAAAGAATCAGTAGTATTCGAAGTTTGGTTAAGGTGGCTTATGTTCACTGAGCATTAATTTCCTTAGAAAAGGCATGAAGTTACATTCTACATGCGCATGCAATGAAGGTGTAGAAAACAAATTTCAGTTTAAGGTACTTTTGTTCAATTAGGAGTACTGCCCTCGGGAAAAGGCATGAATCCATTTCGTATTCTCCTTTGTCCACATACGATGGTTACCCGAGAAGAGAATAAATGGGCGAGTAATCACTTGGGAAATGCCGCCTCACACACTGTCCAGTAACAGTATAAAGGTGTCACCTTAATGGTCAACCTAAGCTGATGTGTTAATGTTGTAATATAATTTATGCTATTGTCGGCAATATCATGTTTTATCATTTTTGGTTATCCATAATTTATCTATCCCAAGTGTCGCCTGTAGGACTTTCATCGTATAAGAGAAGCTGACTCAATACTCAACCTTTGAATTGATCGAACAATTAAGAGAAACTCGAACGTATGTTTTGTGCGTTACAAAGTAACGGACACTGGTTTTTATAGAGAGAGAGTTGATTAAAACTATTACAGTTTAATGCTGCCAGGTGGTCCAGACGGAGAGAAAATAACAAATGGTCGCACTAAAGGACCCTCTTTTCATTGTTTTCTTGCGTTCTACTTTACCTAGCTGCTGCTTCTTTTTGCTTTTTTTTTGGAGGGGAGGGCATTTTAATTCTGCATTTTTCGATCTCGCTTTCAAATCCATAGCAACAAAAGAGACATTTGATTGACTTTTTTTCCTACTGCCCTGCTCGTTTGTATAATGACGAGTGATCGATATCCGCCTATTTACAAATTGCAGGCATCACTTACTATCAGGCAAGGATTGAGTGATCAGGAAGAAAGCATATTTTCAATGATTCCATTTTCGCGTTGGCCCGGAAGATATCTTAGAAGTCACTTCATTAGATGAGAAAATCTAGACGCAAGCAACCAAAAGCAACCTAAAAAGACGAATCTAAGTACTACTGGCTAATATTTGCCAAAACCAAAATAATAGGAAGAAGATTATGTTGCGCCAATCTCTCACGTGATGAAGGTTTAACAGTCTTGAAAATTTACAATGGAAATATTTTTTGCCTGGCTTCAAACACCTATCTCAGACTCCGCTGGAAAATGCCTAATTTTTTTCCTAAAAGAAAAACACTTTCTTCATATTTACGAAGCATACCTTTGTAATGTTCAAGACTAAACGGTGGCGAAAAAGAAAAGGAGATTATATTTCACGAATCCTTCAAGTTGGAAGGGCTAGCCGACCTGGAAAATCAGCTTCGGAAAACTACAGACTCTAAAATAGAAAGCATTTATTTTACTTATTTAATGATTGATTCGTTTTTACGGCTTATCAACCCATTGCAAGTTATTTAAAACCAGAAAAAAATTATATTGTAAAAATTGTTTTAAAGATAATAAGGGTTTAGTGATGCAAGTCTTACTAATTAACCTGTAGCTGGGGAGAAGAGGTGGATTCATACGTTTCCCAAGGGTATTTACACGTAACTGAATACAACGAACCCAACTGCAATTGGAAATCGGCTCTCGAATAATAATTCTGAGCCATTATATTAGGTTGGTGCAAAAATAATGTCGTTTTTGACGTTCAACTTAACGTCAAAAACGACATTATTTTGCACCAACCTAATATATTACAACATCTTCACATCCAAGCTTACAGCACCTGGTATTCCTAATCGATTACCCATCTAGATACTGACCAGGCTCGACGTTGCTTAACTTCGGTGATAGTACGGGAACCGACGTTTCAACGTGATGTGACCGCAAGCCTTTTACTTATTTTAAAACAACGCTGAATCCTTTTGCACACGCCTAAGTTTTTTAAACATTTTTTTTTTATCATTTTACCACAAGCAAAGCAATAAATCCGCAATGGTATTACTGGGTGTAGGAAAATATGACAAAAAGAAAAAGAACATTACTAAGGAGAGAGAACAATAAGTGAACAGGAATTAAGAAGGCAGAAGATAACGATTGACATTGCATTTAAGTTTTTGAATATCAAAGTTGGCTGGAAAACAAGAAGCTGAAGGAGAGTTCAACAAGCTAGAAGTGCGAGAAAAAAAACTGTTAGCATAGAACTGTAAAATGATGAAACCTAACTGCAAATCCAGTACGGTTTTTAAATTAGTAAATTCGATGCACCGAAAGCTCATCGGAAAAGCTTACCGTGAAAATATCTATAGAAAAGGCACAGAGTGGGAAAGTGGCTGAAACCGAGATGTCAGGTCGGGACCAATAAAATTGCAGATTCTTCTTTGGATTTTATCAAGGATTCTAAATACATAACAGAAGCACCAGACCATATGTGACAGCAATATTCAATGCATGGATGAATGGCAGACATATAAACGTGTAAGCTAGATTCTGGCGAGAAAAGTCTAGCACGACACAGTGAACCAATATTCATAGCAGAAGATCTAGCAATTGATTCAATATAATCTCTCTACTTTATGTCAGCGGAAAACGTTAGCCCGAGAAAGCGAAGTGTGTCACTCCCCGGGAAGTTAGCATCAGCTAAAAAAGCTTCTCTAATGCGATTAAGAAAGCGGTTACTTTTTGGAGGTGTTAGAATTAACAAACTATTGCTTGCTTCAGTTAGCAATAGATTGTAGCTCATTTTTTAGATCAGCTGCCAAATTATCGAACCGATCAGATTTACCATTAAAAGAGAAGTAAATAGTCACCAGAATGAGTTGAGGATGGATGCCATTGAAAAGGTCACTGATGAAAATTAGGAGCAATGTAGGTCCCAGGATAGAGCTCTAGGGGATACGCAAAATAATGCAAAAATTTTTTTATTGTATACAAAAAATATAGAAAAAAAAAACGCATATTTTACAACAAAATAAAATGAACTACAACTAACAATAGAAAAGGATCCATTCATGTGAATGAAAGAGTATACGCTAATACGACCTCTTTCTAGAGAACGAGACGATTGATTCAAACAAGTACTGTTCCAAGACCATGTGAAGCCAGCGACAATAAACGAAAAGCGCCTGGAATTACTTAATAAAAAAAGGCATATTATTCTAGTGATTTTCCAAGCGTAGCTTAGATGTGGCACATGGCTGAAAGCATGGGGCACCCAGCGATGATCGAACTCACTACTCAGTCGTAATTGTTCTAGCCAGACAAGCTTGCTAACCATTACACCACCTCGAGGTGCCCTAGGCATATTATTCTATCGAGTTAATGCTATATTATTTGTGACCATACAAAAAGTATTGCACTTAGGTTGGAAAGGTTTTATTCAGTAGATATTGCACCTTGAGATTACCATTTATTTCCAATCTTATAGAACTCTTTTAATGAAAAAAATTGAATCGTCTGGAAAACTGCAAAGGGCATCTAGAGTAGTCATTTACTAGGAAAGATAAAATGTTCCAAGTGGAAGAAATTATGAATTTATAGGAGAGATGATGAAAAGATAATGGAACAAAACGTTAAGTCGTTCGTCTTCTTCATCTTTACGCGCTGTGTCCCTTCAGGACGTGGTTGATCAAGGTTCTCCACAACATCTCAAGCTTTAAATAACGTCTGTAGCCTTAATATCCCTTCCGGTTCCTGTTATGCCATCCATTTACACAAACTCGCTATGTAGATAGATCGTTGTTTCTCTCTGCCCTTCTTGCTTTTGATAGGTCCTGTGAGTGTTAACTTCTCCAAGCCCACTTTCTTCATTATGTATCCCAGAATCTTTAATTCGCTCTCTCTCTCTCTCTCTCTCTCTCTCTCTCTGATTCTAAATACAAGTGTCCTTTTTGTTCCCGTTTTCCTTAAAACTTGCTCGTTGCTCACATGCTCTTTCCATAGTATTCTCAGCACCTTCTGTAAAACCACATCTTTATTTCCTCAAGTCTCCTCTTCATCTGTGAAGAAATTGTCCAATATTCACTATTCACTAGCATAGAGGAGAATTGATATTGCATTTTTTTTCTAACAAAATTTTCCAGTTTCTTAAGAATTTGCTAAACTTTTAGAAGTCATCTTTCGCTATTCCAATGTACCTTCGGTTTTCTGTATCACATTTTCCACCGTATTTTATAACACTTCCTAGATAATTAAATTTATGTATTTGCTTGATATTGACGCCTCAAATTCGTACCTCGCATCTTGGAACGTTTCTATTGCTAACGGTTCAATCCTACTGCAACTGATAGTTAGTCCTTTCTTCCTACTTTCTTTGATTACCTTGTCTTGGAGTTTGTTTTTTTAAGCATTTCATTACAAGCAAGGCGGGGTTGCCACTAGCACGCAAGGGGGTACAGAGAGTGAAACTAAGAGTAAAGAGGGGTGTTTGATGAAAGGATAAAGAGAAGGACGGGATCATGGCATCAGAAGATATCGATTGATATTACATTGGAATATTTGAAGATTGTAGTTATCAGGGAAGCAAGAAAGAGGAAGGGAGTTTCACTGCTGGAAAGTGCGAGAGAAGAAGCTGTTGGAGTAAAACAGGCGGTTACATTTAACTGTCTCGACAGTGAAAGGGTGTGACCGAGATGCTAACTTAGTAAAACGCTTACATTACTGCAGTTGGGGCACCAGTGAAAATAGGCCGTCAGAACAGTTGCCATGAAAATATTTGTAGAAAAGACAGGTCTGTGAGAAAGTGACTGCAGTCGAGATGTCATGCCAGGACCTATCACATTGCATATCCGTTTTTGGATTTTGTCGAGAACCTCGAGATGAACAGTTCCTGCGGTTTTCTTTCTACGTCTTGGAGTTTTTGTGGTTTTCTTTCAGCGTCATCTATCTTATGTTGTTAAGATTGCACCCATCAATCATAAATCCTAGTAAGACTTCTAGTTCTCTTCGGATTGCCTTGCAATGAATAAATCCAATGTGGAGCTGCATTATTGTCTTAAGCCCTTTTCTATTTTTAATTTGATCCGTCAAGACAGTAAAATCTACTACTTCTTACGTCTTCTTCTTGGTTATAACTACCAGATCCGGTCTTTTGGCCTGAATTAAGTGATGTGTTCGAATCGCAATGTCCCAGAAGATTTTGTGCACTTCGTTCGCGTTTCTGGTCTGTTCGTATATCAATGGTCTCTATCATAAAAATATAGTCGCTTGTATAGTTCCTACTAGATTACCTTCCCCGCCCAGTCAGTGTATTCTTTTGGGGTCAATTATTATTATTATTATTATTATTATTACTATTATTATTATATTGAGTGATCGTCCTTGAAACGAACTATTAAAGTCGCTAGAGGGTGTACCATTGGCTGACTATAAAGTTATTATTCTTCAAGATGAGAGTTCATTTTGAATAGTTGCAGAGCACATGACTAGCTGCGGACGAGAGACTGGATGATTAAAATTATTATTATTATTATTACTAAGTGAGGGAGTAGCATGCTAACAAAAGACCACTGAGTTACAAATATACTAAGCCCATTATATCCATCAAAATCTGTGCATACCAGACACATGTTTCACAGCCAATTGTGTGCGATATGCTTGCGTGTTTTGATAAAGCAGTGCATAACCTTGCAGGAGGGGCCTGGTTAGATATATCTTCATGTCAGATAACCATTATGGCCGCCTATGAATAGCGATGCACAGTGTGTCAGTTCCTAGGGAACATGTCCAACTGGCTATAATGAGGCACCTGACAAAAAATTGAATGTAGTGATCGGATGTTTACTATTTCCCATATTAATTCCCACAGAAAAAAAAATTACATGTTAATCCCTCCATCAAAGATCAGAAGCCACGCGATTCGTTCCTTGTGTAGCATCAGTGTATTTATTATTAGTAGTAGTATCAATGATTCTAAATAGTGGTTTTCACTGGACTCCAAATACCAGCAATATATATATATATATATATATATATATATATATATATATATATATATATATATATATATTCTCTGTATTTAAGTAGTAAATGTTCTTTAAGGCAAATGTTATTGAATATAGACGTTTTCTCTCAATTAATTTTAATGATCGACTTTTCCAAATTACGGGTAATCCTTCTCAGATAAGGATGAAATTCCGTCAAAAATTATCCGAAGTTCATTTCGGAAGAAATATGGTCCAAGCTTTCGTCTTTCTTAAGTCATCATCAGGGTAGGTAGAGACAAATGGTGATATTCACCTAGCTTTCGAATACATATTAAAAGACACACATACACACACACACACATACGTCACATCTTGCAAAAACTCTTTGTCTACGTCATAACACCCACAAATTCCACGAAAATTGCCTCTTCCTACCTTAATGATTGCTTAAGAAAGTCGAAAGTTTTTCCTCCTTGTCTGAGAAGCATTATTCGTAATTTGGAGAAGTTGATCATTAAAATTAATCGACACAAAATAACTGTTGTCATCAATAATATTTGCCTTAAAGAACATATGCTGCCTAAATACACAGTCGAGATAGATCGATAGATAAGATAGATAGATAGATAGATAGATAGATAGATAGATAGATAGATAGATAGATAGATAGATATGTATGTATGTATGTATGTATTCTGAGAGTTCCAGACTTGTTTCGTTCATTCTACTGCATTCAATATTAGGGATATATGATCTGAAATTTCAAAATTATTTTACTAAGTAGATTCTAATTCTATTGAAGTAGATATTGTCTTATATGACAGAGCCACTTAGATAAGTAGGAATATACGTAACATACACAATAAAATGGACGCGATCTTTATGCGTTGATAATAGCTTTCTGATAATTCCATATTCATTTCAATATATTTATCAATTTTTTATTGTAAGAGATCAAAAAAGAAAT